TAGAATGAATCCAAAGTGACATGTCATTGTATCACTCATAGAATGAATCCAAAGTGACATGTCATTATATCACTCATGGAAAGAAAATAGTTGTAACTATGAGCCAAATTAGTCTTGTTTCAATTTTCACATTTCAAATGACAACCAGAGGAAAAATTCTAGCACAATATTGTAATTTGGTGTGTATTTAATAAACCTATTGCCAATAATTTGTACAAACTGTATTTCTCCATTGACTTCAATTAACTTTGAAATCACAAAGCAAATTCAGTACATAATTAGGTTTTACAGGTGGGGGGAGGGGCATATACTAAAACATACCAGTGTCAAAATAATAGCCACATTAAAATACTGACTTTGCAACGAATAATAAAGTATGCACAATGGGTTCAGAGCCCCTTGAAGGTGTCAAGGCAACACAGATACCGAATACATGTATAATAGCTAAACCAGGAAGAATGAATGAAATCTAGGCCCAACAGTAAACAGTGGGGAAAAACAAACCAACACCTGAGGATATGTGACAGGTCAACCAGAGAAAGAAAGATCACATGTTAGAAAGGACAGAGAAAAAAATTGGTATGCTGTGTGAATACATGAATGTATGGTTCTTTTAGATGTACCGGTGTACTCAAGTTGGCAATCAAAAAATAAAAGGCTTATATAAGAGAGATGAGTAGAAGGTATGTCAGGGAAGAGTGGTTAAGAATTGTAGACTCCAAGCATGGTTACAGTCCACCTCTGTATGTAGCCAAGCATGGTTACAGTCCACCTCTGTATGTAGCCAAGCATGATACCCAATATAAATGTATGTATTATACTAATATTACCAATCTGCAGCTAAATGTGAACTTATTTATGCATCAAATTCAGCAAGCTGCAAGCAGTGATAGTTAGATTATCCTCTATATATGCATACCCTCTGCGCAATTGCTCCATCCCCCTCCCCAATATGGTCTTGGCTACATCACTAGTGTGTCACCAATGATTGCGATTATCCATGAAAATGGATATTATTAGGTCACATGACATGGTTATGAACACAAATTCTTTTCAGCTTCAAGTGAAGGTAAAATACAGCTAATAGTTAAGCACATTTCACTCAATAACGCGAGCTTTCTCACATCCTTTATAATTAGAAAAGTAAGGACATTTTTCAACCAGTTATATTTTTGTAATTCTGTGAAAGTCACTGTGACTTCCTATCATAAAGGTCTTTTGTGGACACTCAACTGATTAAATAAGTGTGAAACAAAATAAAAACATTTTGGAACAAGTTATGGCACACAATTATCATTTAGAAATAAGTCAAAAGCCGTGTAAAAAACTGATTACTTGTGCAAAAAATTGTTTGGTGATAACTTTTTGATTTTTTGTTTTGTTTTGGATTTTGTGAGCAACAGTATAAAATAAAGCCCTTATGGCAAGACAATTTGGTATATATTTAAATAGTAGCCTACAATTAAACACAAGAAACCCAGGAAAATGTTAATGTTACAGAACATGAAAATGAATCAGGTCACCAGGAAAACTGTATTACCCAAACTTTTAGTTGGCAACACACTGACATGCTTTATTCATTCATTCCATTGTACATGTACGTACATGAATAAACCCAAATATCCAGTGAGGTTTCCCGTTCTGAAGTGCTGGCACCCTTCGGATAGCATTTAACTGAGCGGACAAACAATATTGGTGGTAGACACATACAAGAAGGTGACTTTACGTGAGAATTTCCCATCTTATGGGGACCACATATGGTCACATCTGTGATTTAATACAATGCCTGATGCCTGTCCTGATGCCTGTCCGTAAAAACTGGCCTATATACACTAGTGGTATTCCGACTTCTTCATAAATAACAAAACAGACAGTGGCCAAAAAGCATTCCAGAAGACAGCTGCAGTTCAATATGACAGTACTCAACTTCACTGTATCTCCCAGTTCATGATTCCAGTGGTTGCATCTATCCAATTTTCACGACACGACATGACAGAACTCAACTTCAGTGTATCTCCTAGTTCACAATTGCAGTGGTTGCATCTATCCAATTTTCACTACATTTCACAGTTAATAAATCAATCAAGTGGGATAATTGAAGGTGGTACACAATCACCAATTATCCAAATATTGTCAGCACTGATCGTGCCCTGCTGAGGTAACTCAATCCAGAGCTGGCATTGAAGGAGAATGCCATTAACCTATAGGGATCCCAGTTAATGCGAGTTCAACTACATCAGTTTTCTGGTCACACTGTATATCTCAAAATCCATAGATAAATCTGTGATGATAATGAGTATTAGGAACAATAAACGGAGACAGCATATAGTATTCTCAGTCTAGTATCCACGGTTTAAAAGTTGCTTCAATTCCTTAGTGATCTCAAAGCATGAAGATTTGCACACATAATGGCTTTGCTATAGAAGAGCTGGAATCACTGGCAGGGTCAGAACTGTCAAGTTTCGCTTCACACAATCCATCTTATACATGGACAAGTAAATCAGCTTAAAATGGACTTATCTCTGCAACAAATCACTCAGTCTATTGGAGGAGCACTTCTTAAATATCACCACTATGTATACACCAAAATGCCGTTGATGTTTTTAACTAATAGTCATGACGAAACATCAGGGTTTAAATCTAGTGGCAATGCAGATGGACTGTGAAGCTTTCAGGCATACTGACTATGAAACTAGAAGGCACATGAAGCAAGCCGACCACCACCATGTCACTCAACTGAAAGACACTCTTAAAATTTGATACTGGGAAGAAAGGTGCAGGACTAACCATTAACATCAAAGAGGGAGAAAGTGATTTGGTGAGGGGGAAAGTAGGTTAAAGTGGAGAAAACATTCATAAGGTACACACCAGCACTAAAATGTACCATGATGGCAAATATATCAGACAATTTTAACAGAATGATAATTTGACAGTTCTTCAATGTATTTTTCATAATGGAATAATCCTAAGAATGAGATAACCATGCTGGTATTGACCTGGCACAGTGAATTGCTTAGCTTGATGAATGGAGTTTTGACATAAGACGATAGGATGACAAGCTACTACATTGTAGGACGATCAAGAGATTACAACTCCTGACACAATCACACTTCGGGCAAAATAGAAATTGAGAGACGAGACAGGGGTTAATTATTTGCTTCTAATTTGATAAGATTATTCCATGCACATATTTCAAGGATGAACACAGCCGAGAAAACATATGAAATTAGTTTCCAGGTCAATTTACTTCCTTAAAATCAATTATTTTTTTATCACAAACTTGCAACTTTCACAGTAACTTTATTAATTTTCATCTTAAGTTTTTCACACATGCTGCATTTGATAAGCCATGCACCTTAACCCTATAACTAGATATATTACAATGTAGGTATGAGAAAATGTGATATGCCATTGAGAAGATATAGGAGTGACATATAGCTATAATTTTACAAAAAATCACCACATTTTTAATATAGAACTGTTTTTGTTTCCATAGAGACACACTTCCCACAACCAACAAAGTCAAACTTTTGAGCATTGCAAATTTTACTGGAGTTCACCATAATCTGTGAATTTTATGAATTCTTTGTGAATGCCATTCAATCAATCTGGCAATGAACTCTTAAAATTGTTACACGTCTACAATATTTTTTCTTAAAGTTGGGTGTATCAGATGAGGCATAAGGTACTCCTCACCATCAGTGCAGCAAAAGTCAGTTGGTCAATCAGGACACAACACACCACACATCTGGAAAACATTGATACAGACTGCACAACATAGCAATGTACTCAAACTCATTTCACTCAAACCATGCTCAAACTAAGTAAAGTTCCAGTCTTATTGGTAGACATTTCAACAAGTGTTTATTTGTGTGTACCATGCCAGGCATTCAACAATAACTCTCCATGGAGGCAACCATTCAAACAAATAAACTCTGCCCACCCAACAAACAGTTAATAGTTTCAGTCAGTTATGTCTCCTGTTACAAATCAAATACAACTGATTGTGTGGATCCTTATTACAGATGAAATACATGCAACCCTGACCCAAAGATGTCAATCAAATATGAACAAGTTGTAACTACATGTCCTGACAGTAAATGTTACCCTTTTACCACCATTGTAAATTTTGAATCCTTTCACAACTTGTCCACTAACTTCAATTAAAGCTATCTGGTGAATCAGAATTATTTTGAATATTTGAAATCCACCGAATGGAATGAAGAAATTTCAAATCCAAGGGATTAGCAGATTGAAAGAAATTGGAAACTGTTTTGATTAGAAAATGTTTCATGTTTCAATTTGTCATATATCTCAACTACATAGGTACATCAAGATTTTCACACAGTAAGGTCATGTGACACTTCAGTCTGGGTTAAGGTCAACTACAGTCCATATATGGAAGTCATTTGCATAAATAACCATAATTTGTTGCAAAGTAATTGATAACTACATCACTGTTTTAGCTACAAAATTTGTGATAGGAACTAAAGATTATGTTTTGTATACTGTATTTGCTCTATTAAAAGCACATATAAACAAATAATCTCATTGGCTGTATACTGGATTATTAAAATATTACTTATTTTGAACATAGAAAAAATCTCTTAACATAAGCACATGCACTACTAATATAGCAAATACTGTGAGTGTCCAAATGACAGGGTTCTACTAATATAGCAAATACTGTTAGTGTCCAAATGACAGGGTTCTACCAATATAGCAAATACTGTGAGTGTCCAAATGACAGGGTTCTACTAATATAGCAAATACTGTGAGTGTCCAAATGACAGGGTTCTACTAATATAGCAAATACTGTGAGTGTCCAAATGACAGGGTTCTACTAATATAGCAAATACTGCGAGTGTCCAAATGACAGGGTTCAATTTATTAATTGTAAACAAAAATAGCTAAAATTTCAATTTTGTCTGATCCTTCTAAAAGTATTTTCAAAATCTGAAGTCAAAGTTTGTCATGGTTTTATTAAGGTGTGACTGTTTTTTAAATAAAACAAGAAGTGAATCAGAAAGTATACCATTTAGACTAGAACAATATCATACTTACTATATATGAAGATTCTTGGGGGGAAATTTTGCTCAAAGACGATAAATTTCAAACATTTGAAATCAATGCATTATGGGATATCAGAAGTATGGCAGCTGCTTTGTATTATAACCTAATGGTTATAGAGGTCTTGAATCATAATTAGTTTTCCATATGGCCAAATATAGCTGTATTGCCAACTGTGGTTTCAAGCAGCGAGCCATGCAGTATACCAACAAAATTGAAACAACATTCCATAATTTCAGATCACTTCAATGTAGACATACATTTTGTAGCTTTAAGCAGACATTATTTTATAATCATAAAATGTATAAATTATCTGCATCATAGATATTAGTTCCTTAATTTGATAAGTGGTTAATTACCACTATTCACTTGTTTACAGACAAATGAAAATATTTATGTAATTACGTAAAATAATAAAAACAAAAAAATGTAAAATAAATATGTATAGCATATTTCTAAACAGAAATAAAGAAGTAATATTTATATGTCCTCACAACAAGACCCAATCAATCACACTAGTACTGGCAACATTAGAAAGTTGAAATATCTGAGCTACTTTAATATATGTTACCTATATAATAAGGAGAAGAAGATCAGATCAAGGCAATCTTAACAATGATGATAATAAGAAGAAATGGTGATGGGAGAAAAGTTAAAAGACATGAAAACATGAGAATAATACTTACGAGTAAACAATAAACAAACTTATTAGTAAATAAAGAATAAATTAATTAAAGAAAACAAACATTTTGGATTAATAAAGTAAAACAAAATCAAACTAAAAACTTACAATCATCATGATGCCTGTCTTTTCTTCGAGGTCGATCTATAAAATAATCATGCAGATTATAGGGTTAGGGGTTATGGAAAGGAGAACACTTCATTCCAGTGTAGTACTAAATATTCATTATTTGTTTGTTAGTTAAACCAACCTAGGAAAGATTAGGGTACAGGTTAAAGTGAGTAATACATGATGTACATGTCACATGGCAGCTTTATTATTATGGGTTTCAACATTTGAAATCATGGCAAATGGCTGGAAAATTCTAACAAGTGAAACTATTTTTCTTTCTTTTCAGTCTAATCTTTTTGTTTTATGTTTTTCCTGGATGTGACAAAATTTTTTCCCATCAACACTTTTTTCTCTCTCAGTTCTGATCTCCCACCTCGCTTTTTTCTATACCTTTGTTGTTAATTAACTTTTTCTATACCTTTGTTGTTAACTAACTTTTTCTATACTATATAGTTCATTAAATAAAA